ATGCTATCAGCACTTAGTCAAGTGATTTTGCAACCTTGAAAACCGTTATTTGCAGTTTTAGGAAGATGATGTTTGAATTGTCTGAAGTTATCAAGTCGCAAAATAACCGGGCTTCGCTTGTGTGCTTTGTGAGTCGGCTCTAATTATATGCACGTGTCTAGGTGCTTGTTTGCTTGTGTGGTGACTCGAACTATTTGCAATCATATTCAGATTTTCTTTACTTCTTTTTCTTGTTTGAAGCTGAATGTCCATTGCATATGGAGCTGGAAGAGTCATTGTTGACAATTCTCCTGGCATAGTGCTAATAATGGACTAGATCAAAATGGCTCAATTAAATTCTAGTGCTTCTTCTATTAGTGAAGTTTCTAGAAAAAAATATATCAAACGACGCAACGCACCTTGGGTCGCTATGGAAACAGCCTCCTTGTATAATTACAAGGGTAAGGTCTGCGTACAACTGACCCCCCAGACCCCAACCCGTTGGCCGTTGGGAATATACCCACATGTTGATGTTGATGTTGATGATGTTGGTTTTGAAGCTGACTTGAAAGTTGAAACCCCAAAAGCCAAAATTGGTGATTTTGCGAGTGAAAATCCGAGTTTTCGTTCGGTGGATCACAAAATCATAGTTTTCTAATCATTTTTATCAATCATGTAAGCCCAACAAATTGCTTTCAGTATGAATGAATGCAATCTCTGAGAATATTTCAACTTTGACATTGTATTAGAAGTGAATAGGTGATAGATCCGTTGTGTTTCCTCTAATGATGATCGAGTTTGAAAATAATATGCCCAAAAAAAAAAAGTTACTTTTTCGATAATTTCACAGAGAGCAAGTCTTGTAGGTCTTATGTTAGACGGCCTATAAGGCCGTCGTCATACTAACAACAGCATTTGTGTTTCACCAAACATCATTTATTTGTAGCAGCTAGCTGATCATTAATATATAGAAATTTGGTATTTCAAGTTTCTATATTATGCGAATAACTTCGATTATATTAATTTAATTCATATTATTTATCACTATTCTCATGCATCTATGCTGTTTTAAGTTAACCCTTTTGGTTCTTCTATTGGAAATTGGAAGTCAGTTTTTGCAGCTGGAAGAAGAGTGAGTCTCAAGGCAAATTTAAAGGGAAGGGCTAATGATTGTGTGTGAAATATTTCTTCCATTTGTCTAATTTGAAATTTGAGAAAATTATACCATCTACTTCCAATTCTTATTTTATTTTTATATTGACAAAGTTTGTTTTGTTAATGACAAATATACCATTTTTTATAGTACGAGTTGTTAATTTTTGGTTTTTTTTTTTATTTTCTAAATTATCAATTGCATTATTTTATGTTGGACTAATTTATGAACTAGTACAAAATAGTCATATACTGAATGTGTCTAGTTAAAAGTTTTATAAATAAAATTGATAAGTTTTTTTATTTAAAATTAAATGTTTAAAAAAATTGCATCATTATTTATATTAAATAAAATATTCTTACCCATTTTATATTATAATATAATAACTTTAGTATTCACATCATATGATCACCTACATAGATATTTTCAATTAAAATAAAAATTTATTATTATTATTATTATTATTATTAATAATTAACTTAGTTTTTTATAATAAAAATAAAAAATTTGTTTATTTATTTTGTATATACTATATGGATGTTAAATCGAAACTCATCAAGAGATTATTAATTTGATATATTATATATGAAAAATTGATAACAATAAAATACTTTATAATTTAAGTTATTCAATTATTTTATAGTTTTAAAAATCGGTATTGATATACCGATTTGTTCCGAGCTCTCTTTATAACCTAAAATTGATTACCAAATGATGCATAGGATTCAGAATTTGATACATAGCATTTCGCGAAGCAGCACAAAGTCGCATATAGGCCTGATATACCATCAAAATTTGAGACAGGCTTGGGTGCGTTTGTTTATCAAATAATACGTTCAAAATGAGTTATTTTAGTTAATCATAATTAATTTTGAAAAATGTAGTATGGTTAGTTGTTAGTGAAATTTTAAAATAAAATAATTAAAATTGATTTGATGTAAAAGTAGGAGATAAATAATTAGAAATTATAGACAGTTAAAAATTAAAATAATCTGAGCAGATAAATAGTGAATTAAAGTTGATGTGATGTATAACAATGATTTGTTTGTATTAGTTAATTATATGAATAAGATTAAAAATAGTGAAACTGTATTAAAGTTGAGTATCAAATAAACGTGAGTAAATTAACTTGTTACTGTGAAACTTTTGCATTTATATATATATATAAGGAGGGATGTCAAATATGAAACATGGGCTTAGCAACTTTTGCATTTATATATGAGGAGGGATGCTTATGTATGGTTTTATTTTGAATATTGTAATTAAAAAAAAAAATCTGTAGTAAGTAATAACTATGTAAAATATAGGGAGTGAATTATAAAACAAGACTATTTATTTCATTTGATAATTCCTCGGATGTGTACTCATATTGGGCTTTGATGTGTACTCATATTGGGCTTTTGGTTCTGCACCCAGTTTAAGTCCACTTCGATTTTGAACTTTTTTATCAACTCAAATTAACAAACAAATGCCAATGCCAGTGGTTCAATTTTTCACATTGAAATATCATAATAAAAATAAAATAAAAAACATAAATGAAAGTATCTAATTTAATTGTAAAAGTAAATATTTTTATTAAAAAAAAATATATATATGGCTAAACTGTTGAGCAGCTATAAATTGCAGCATTTGTGGCAATGCAACATACAAACATAAGGATTTGATTCATTGATTGAAATAAATAGACATAGACATAATTAATAGACATAATTATATTTGTACCAAAACAAAAAAAAAAATAGACATAATTATATAACAACATATTTCAAATCCAACCACTCACTTATTCTTGAGTGCACTCAGCATAATCAAGGGCAAAGTATTCAAAGCTTTAAGCTAATCCAAACATTTTGGCCCCATTTTATTGCCACTATAAAGACATAAAAAAAGAAAAGCAACTCATTTGGGTTATAAGAACATCAAACATTCGTTTCCATAAAGTGAACATTTCACACTCACACTAGGTGAAAGACATATTCGTTGTCTCGATTAAGTTGTGTTTGGTAAGCATATAAACTAGCTTATAACTTATTTGATTAGCTTATATAAGTTTCCTGTACTCAAATAAACTTGGTTTGGTAGGACGAGCTTTTTTTTTTAAAAGCTCGAGCTCATCTCATAAGCTTTCTTGAGTAGCTTTTCAAATAAGATAATTGAAATTTTTATTTCAGCTAGCTTATTATCATATAATTTTATCGAACACTCTTACCATATATATAAGCTAGCTTTTTCAACATAAGTCATAAGCTATCAACTATAAGCTCAAAATTCGTTTTGAAAAAATATAAGTTAGCTTATCAAGTTTATCAAACATAGCTCTCAACAGAAAACATAAAACACATGCAAAAAGACTACAACGTCTTCAAAAATTTTCGGTTCGTGACGAGAGTTTATGCAGTTCATATTATATACTTCCATTTCTTGACATTTCTTTTTCCACTTTTTGCAGTGTCGAAAAGTTTGCTCTTTTGATACACAGACCTCAAAACGAGACGATTTGACGAGAGACTTACTATTATTTCCCAGTGTTTGTGCTGCTACTGTTTGCTGAGGCTCGACAGGATTGAAATGATTTCAGAAAATTGCGGGCGTTTTGAGGGGCAATTGTTCCAGCAGTTTATCATGAGATTCCGGAGGATCTGTGGGCAAGATTCTGGGATATCGGGCCTGAGCCCACAGGCTGCTATCCCGACTGCAGCTTGCACTGGCGAATAAGCTGAATAAGCTATCTCCCCCGACACCATTTCCCATAATACCATCCCAAAACTATACGAGTTACTCATCCATGTCTCGGTTACACTTTCTGGATCGCCCGAGATTATCTGTTTATTAGACAGAACCTTGATTAGATTATATTTTCCAGATTTTTCGGTAAGTGGATTACATAATGCAGCATCACTCGATAATCGATATGCATTGAACTAATCAGTGTAAAACCTCAAATTATGTAAGCAAATTAACTAAAAACAACATGGGAACCACTCAAACATCAACCAAATCCACCACTAGGTTGTTTAGTAGATGATTAGTGAAGATTAAGATAAACAAATCTCATCATGTCAACACAAATCATGGCAGAACAATTAAACGTCACTTTCTGAAGATGGCCTGAAGGAGTATAAGATAGCAACACATAATGCAAGAAGCAAGCAACAGTTGTCACGGCAACAAATTAAAACCTCACTTTCTGAATACGACTGACGACTAGCTACACATAATGAAAGAAACCATACTATGAAAAGAAAAGGAAAAAAAATGTATATTTCAACTAGGGAGCACCATATAAAAATTTTGAGTGATTCACAGAAAAAAATTGGAACAAACAATGCGTCAAGAAACCAAAAACAATTCTTGTTTCCTTGACCTGACACTTTCTGAAGAAGCCCTAAAATATAGTCCCAATGCTTCAGAAACTAGTTGAAGCACAAGTCATAGTAATTCCGGCTTGCTCATTAAGTTGGTAGGATCCTAAGTGTTCAGTGTCTACTTTAATCTCTACTTTAATCACCCATTATACTCTTGAAGAGATTCTTACTAACATCATATTACACAATTTAATAATTCAGCATCAGCAAAGAGAAGTGCCAAATAGAAAGATGTATTAAGAAACGATTACGAGTTAACAAATGTAAAAAAGAAACAAATTCTAAACAAGAAAACGAACCTCTGGAGCTAGCCATCTATAACCATCAGTTTCATACTCCATAGCCTCACCAACACTATTGCAAGCCGCAACTATTCCCATATCTCCTAAGCAAGCATTCAAACGTTTATCTAACAGTATCCTCTGTGTATTCAAGTCCCGATAAGCAACTCCATGATCGTTCAAGAACTTGATTCCCACCGCAACATCCATCACGATCCTCAGAATATCTCTCATCTGAAGCTTTTTGTTCTTCAGAATCAATTCATAAACCGATCCTCCCTCCATCAGCTTGGTCACAATACACAATCCTTGATTCTCATCGACACAAACACCATGAAAAGGCAAGATATTCTTGTGCCCGCACGTCATCAGCTCCAAAAAATCTTTCCTCAGCTCAAACTCATAAGCATTTCCTTTATCACATCCTTTAAGCTTCTCGATCACGACTTTTTTGCCCTTATACATCCCCTTGAACGTACTCGCCCCAATCGAATCTGTAATTTCAACAGCTTCGTGATTTAGCAACCATCTCCCGATCCCATCTCGACCAGAGGTCACGGTTTGCCACTCGTCCACAGAGACCACGATCGAGTCATCGGGTAAAGGCATGATTAACCGAGGCATTGATTCTGAATTCTCTCCTCCATGCACGTTATTATTATTATCGGCATTGCAATCTTCGTCTATGGCCACCGGATCTCTCCCTTTAGTCCTCTGATCTTGGCATCCACAGAGTCCGAAGGGGAGCTTGATGGGATTGTTTTTTGGTCTTTTTAATGCTGCTTTAAGTGCATTCTCGATCTGGGTTCTGATCGCCTTATCCTGTCCCGCCTGAACTGACAGCACAACAACTCCAAGAGTGAACCCTTTCTTCTCAAAGATCTGCAACTTCTTGCAGCAAATTGAAGAACTATCTAATGTCCCAGACATGGATGGCCATGAAATAGCAGAGTTACAAGCAAATGTAAGCTTAAACACATTTGCATTTGCATTTGCATTTCCTTCTTCATCCGACATATCCCGGATCATAATCGCTGGCTGGTCACTGGCCGATGCTTGTTCTATCAATTTCATGTGCAGAAATACATCTTTCATTTCAAATCCAGCTTGTGCATAGCTATCAATCAGAGGCAGATATAAATAAATAAGACGGGATTTCTTTCAAACACTTTGGGGGAAAGGAGATGAAGACAAAATCACTGTTTGCACTCACCTGAGGGGCAAAGAATCGTAGTGCCTGCGGATATTGGAGACCAACTTCTCCGGCAGCTGGCTGCCGGGATACAGCTGTGTCAAGCTCCGCACCACACTTCCCCACACGTGCCTCCGGCAGCCGGAGGGGCCAGAAACCGGCGGCTCGCGAGGCGAATCGAGGTTCAGAGTGTTCTTAAACGAGGCAATGGCCTCCGATACGTTGCGGCTCAGCCTCTGGAAGCGCTTCTGGAAGGCGGAGGACTCCCGGAGGGCGGCGGCGGCGGCGGCCGATGCGGAAGATGCTGATGAGGAGGAGGAGGAAGGGTTGTTTTCCGGCGGGCACTCGGATCTGTCGTTGGTTCGCATCAGGACCTGCTCCACCATGTCCTCGTCGGTGCTTGCCCGGCTCGACCAGCACTCCAAAGCCGCGGCCATGGCTGCCAAAGGTAGAAACTTTTCCGAAGGACGGTTTGAATGACGCACTCGAACAGTACTAAAATACACGAGATTTTTGAGATGCTGCCATTTTTTTGATTACCTTTATTGTTTTTTCTTCTGACATGAGCCATAATGGTTTCCATTAAAGCAAGAAAAGGGGTAAAAAGGTTAAAAACAAGTTACAGAGAGGGCAGTTAGATTTTGGAAAGGACATTACTATTGAAACGTTCCCTTATTACTAGTCACCGCTATCTTGGGATGATTTTGCCTTTCTTATTTTTTCTAAAATTTTAGAAAAAACTCTTTCAGGCGATGTTCGGCGAAATGTCGTCTTCTGATAAGGTAAGTTTTTTCGTCGTCCGACTGGCGATCGCGTACGGGACCGACAACGTCCGACCGCCGAGACCGAACAGGTGCCGGAATGGATAATCACTAATTCAGTACCGCCCAAATGGCGTCCGTCCGGTTGGTTCGGGCACCACCTAGGCTGTAAGCGATCTTAGGCCGTATGGACCGGTCCGCGTACGAACCGGCCGGTCGGACGACCCGCTCTGTGGCCTGGGGCGACGACCGGACGTGACCCGATCCGACCGGTTCGACCGCCCGGAAATTTTTTTTTTTAAAACAATAATATTATTAGAAATTACTATGTTATAAATTGTACGTGAGATATTATCGTGTTAGGAGTTAAAAATTTTTATGTTATACGTTATACTTGATTATCTATAAATTGAACGTTATATATTATCGTGTTAGGAATTAGAAATTATTATGTTATAGATTCAAGATAATTATGTTATAAATTTGATGTTAGATATTATCGTGTTAGGAGTTATAAATTAATTATACTTGATTATCTATAATTGGACGTTATATATTATCGTGTTAGGATTAGAAATTATTATGTTATAGATTCAAAATAATTATGTTATAAATTGTACGTTAGATATTATCGTGTTAGAAGTTAGAAATTTTTATGTTATACATTAGACTTGATTATCTATAATTGGACGTTAGATATTATCGTGTTAGTAATTAGAAATTATTATGTTATACGTTGTACTTGATTATCCTATAATTGGACAGTAGATATTATCGTGTTAGGAGTTAGAAATTATTATGTTACATGTTATACTTGATTATGTTATAAATTGGACGTTAAATGTTATCGTGTTAGGAGGTAGAAATTATTGTGTTACATGTTAGAATTAACTAGTACGTACCCCGTGCGATGCACGGGCTGTATAATAAAATTTATAATTGAAGGCTATTAATCAATAAGTTATAATACATAGAACATTTGTTAGGTCATCGTAAAATGATACATTATTAAAAAGCTCTTTGTTTTTCCATGCAAAATTATTTTTCACTTGGTAATCGTAAATTGATATTTACCAAGATTGCTCTCCACTTTGTAATTGTGAATTGCATAGACACCTCATTCCTTCATTTTTTTTTTTTTTTTTTTGATTTTCGGAATGTTATCACCATGAAATAAAACTATAGTGAAAATATGTAATATTGTGATAGATACTAAAGATATGATTATCTGGTGAAGTTTAATTTTATATCGAGTATAAGGAAAATTGTTACCTTAAAGTTAAAATGTGGATTTTGAGTATATCTTTTTTTTTGTCAATCATTCTCATTTTTTATGCCAAATTCATTCCAATAATTGAGAACGATTTTGTTTTGTTATGTTTTAACAGAGCTTTGGAATTTTGGTTGTATCTTTTGTAAAACATATTTATAAAAATAATTACATTTGAAAAAAACAACAACGATGTTTTATCATTTGTAGATCAAAAATAACTAAATGAATCGGAGGACATATAAATCACAGTTTTTAAATAAAAAATATGTTTCATAAAAAAAGGTGATAATACAATGATTCAAAATGATAAAAAAAAATCGTATATTATAACAAAAAAATGTTTACATGAGTAGCGGATTAGTGAATCGAAAATTGTGACAATTTTAAAAAACATTTTACCATGATTGAAATGAAATCTTTAGAATATTTTTTACTTTTAGTTAAGTTGCATATATTGCATAACTATATATGAAAAAAAAATAAAATATTTAAAGTTCAAATAGGTGATTTATTTATATGTATATAATAAAGTGTACAGTCCAAATAATTAAATTTTATTTAGCATTTTTATTGTTAATATTGATACCGTGATTATTGTAAAGTCCAAATCTCATTTTTACAGTAAATTTATATTATATTAAAATGAATTAATAAGTCTAATAAGAGATGGATTGAATTAAAAAGATTGAATCGTGGTTAAATATCTTGATATCATAATTATACTGTTTCTAAAAAGATATTCCATAACATTTGGTTCTATAATAATACTGCTTTTAAATATAATTGATTCCAAATAGCCGGATTTAGTGTTTAATCAAATATTATGGAATATCTTTTTTAAAATATCTAATTATTAATTTATTTTTTGTTTCTTATTTATATTTTATTTTTGCCAATTGACAATATTATGTTTGATCACATTGTGCACGCAGATAATTTTTTAGATATAAAGTTGTGAACTTAACAAATATCTTATGTGGTTCACAATCCATATAAACAATTGACATTTGTCAAAATTTATGTGATAACAACATTTATGCATTATAAATGCTCTTATTTTGTTTTAAATAATTTCAAATATACTTCTATCCATTCCAAATAAAATTCATACTATTTAAATTCGAACATTTCGTACCAAAAATAAATCACCCACTTTATACCACAAAATCAGACATTTATTATTAACAACACATGTTCTATGAAAAAATAAAAATGGCTATCAGGTACTTAAAATAAAATCATCAACTTTATACTAAAATTGAATTTATTAATACCATAAATTAAATAAGTATTTTCTAAAAGTCATTTCTACATTTTGTCTAAATAATTTTTTAGCGGCACATAAATGTTATTTATATTTTTGTATTTGGTTATCTTGTCTACGAAGAAAAAGATAATCTTGCAACTCTACTATGCCAACAAAAAGATGTATGAAAAATAACATAAGTATCAATTTATTATGTTTTACTCAATACTGGAAATATAATATCCTCCCTATATATTATTCCCGAATGCGCTGAGCCTACGTGGCTGTTTCTGGTGCTTCGGAATCCTACTTGGCAAAGAATCATGCTTCGTAATTAGGTTTGGACAAATAATATAATATTGATATATTAATAATTAATAATTAATAATTTAGGTTTGGACATTCCATAAATATTATTTAGCAAACTTAGGTATTTTAATATCACTTGTACTAATATAGCCCTTTATTTCTTTGTAATTTTACATACTGAGCCACTAAGTGACTAATATATCTCTGACTTTTGATTTGTTTCCTTCAATTAGCTATTGAATTATAAATGTATTTTAAAAGTTGATAACTTTTGTATTTCTTATCGGTTTTACATATATAATATATCAAATTAATCATCTTTTGATGATCTTCGATATGACATCCATATAGTATATATGAAATAAATAATTATATTTATCTTTATAATAATAAAAAATAATAATATTTATTAAAATTCATTAGAAAAATAAAATTATTTCTCAATTGACATATTTATATTTAATGTAGTTATATGTTGTAAGTTTAAAAAATTATTATAATATAACACATGTAAGTTGCACAAATAAAAAGTGTCATACTAAATATATAATAATATATATATATATATATATATTTTTATAAAAGATATTTAAATTTTCAACTACTTTTTCTCATTAATTTTAGATTTTAAGAAAAAATTAGCAAGCACCCGTGTAATACACGGGCGTTGTACTAGTAGATATAAAGATTAACGATTAATTCTCTATAATTGCTCAATCAAGTCTATATATTTAAATTAAGGATTTCGAAAGTTTCTATAATACCGCAATATTTGTTTCCATAAAACTAAATCATACTAAATTTAAATTCAGCCAATAAAGGTAATAACCATAAATATTTGGCTAAAAAGATTATGTACATTAATTACATTGATTTTTGTTAATTTACTATTTTTAGACAATAATTAATGAAATTGGCGGGAAATTATTTCTAAAAGTGAATTATGTTAATCCTTATTATATATTAATAGATTATCTTATAGACTAGAATTAATATATCTTATAAATTAGAAAAAAGATGTTATAATGTTAGAATTTATAAATTATTATGTTATGGATTATAATTTAACATGTTTTAAAATTATAAATATCGTACTATATTGTAGGTGTCATTGGCATATTTTGGAGGATATGATATTGATTACAGTGTTGGTTTCGGTACAACCACATTATTTTATAGTGATGCGAAGGCTATTGAGACTGCAAAAAATACGACACTTGTAAATGGTTTCTAAGGTGAAGGTTTTGAAGTGCAAACGAGGCGAATGTTATAGAGGCAAACAAGGAGATTTAGATAAAGCTGCTTCTAAACGGAAAAAAAAAAACGAAAACGTGTGTAGACATCGAAATTTTAATATTTTATTAATTAATGTCTTTATTTATTTTGGGACATAAATCCATGATAAATAAGATATTTAATTAATAAAAGTTATTATTTCTTGCCCAACAAGTCAAGTCTTAGGATAAGGAAAGAGATTATATCAAATCTTATGATAAGGAAAGAGATTATATCAAATCAAGAAGGACCATCAAATTGATGTCTTCTTTTCCAAGATTCTCTCTCCTACACCTATAAATAGGACTCTTCTCAATGCCACAAATCACACCTCAAACACATCAAAATATCAAACACATCTCAAAGATTAAAGTCTCAAATTCAAGAGCTCTCAAGAACCCTCTTGAAGATTTGAAGAAGATCTTGAAGAACCGTCTGAAGTCCATTCAATGATGAAGAAGGCCAAGAAGAAGAAAAAGAGATGGCGGTCCTCCAATAAACAAAGAGGCGACATCCATTCCTCTCAAATCATTCAAGAACATCAACGATGTTCAAGCAACATTCAAGCCGCGT